AATGTTTACCAACCAAACTACAGAGTTGTTGTGATAGAGTGCAGCCAGAGACAGAAGAGGGAAGAAGGCATTTGTTATCTTATCAGATCATCTTATCAGATTCAAGATAACTAGTAAGCCTCTTGCGCCTTAGCAAGGGACTGCTCATTTCCTTCTCTCTGTTTAACCAGCAGTTGTTTGAATATCACAGCCAAATTAGCGAGATACTCAACAGCAAGTGACTTCTCATATATGGAGCATATACGGAGTTACGTGACTGCCGTTATCGAAGCTTTGGCTTCGTCTCTCCTTATCTCTTTCCATCCGCCGCGGCCCCGCGACTAGGAGCAGCAGCCAACTCGTAAATCCCAGCCATTCTCACCGCCGTTTGTCTCACCTCAACTCTGCACATTGCCTCCGACAGGCGTATCATCGGCTACCATCAGCTGCTGAGTTGCATGTGCTGTCACTAGAAGGAGACAGGCATACCCCAGCTAACAAGCTGCCATCTTTGGGGGGTGAAGATAGTACTAGTTTGGGGGAATTTAAGTTACCCATAAGCCCGGGTGGTCTAGTTGGTATGATTCTCGCTTCGGGTCAACCCTTAGCCCGAGCCCTCCTTTAAAGAGGCTCACGTCTGCGAGAGGCCCCGCGTTCGAATCGCGGCTCGGGCCATTTTTTTTTTTATTTTTTTCTTAATATATAATTGTTGAGATGGACAGCAGCAAGCAGTACGTAGTGGAAGGAAGATAAAATAGATACGCGAGTGTTTGGTGTGTGAACGTTTTACTTGCCCGCCGTAAGTTTGCGTCTCGTACTGCCATGGTTGTTGTCTGGACTCCTTCCGCTGTGCTGCCGCTAGCAGTGTTTCAAGGGAAGGGACAATATAACCCAGCACCAGCTAGTTAACCGATGGACCGATACTTAATTAAAAAGAGGCTGCCGAGAATGCCTCAGTATCCTTAATTCTTTTCTTGGACGCCGTTATATATATATATCCTTTTCTTCCTGTACAGGCATTCTGCATATATAATTATCATCTGTGTAAATTCGCACTCAAGGATATACATACTTAGTATAAAACAACCTATAGTTCGTCCGTGCTTAGCCGTTGAACCCATTCAGAAGAGGCCGCTGTATCGCTCAGGAAAAGAAAGCTGGCTGATTATTCAATGGGTTCTGCCTCCTTTGAAGCCCTAGGTTGAAGCTACCAGTTACCTTTCTGGGTTGGGTCTGCGTCTCATGTTTGCCCTATCACCATTATACTCCGTATCATCACACAGGCACAGGAAGGGTGAAGGGGGAAAAAAGGGAGAGGAAGCAAACTATACATCGGTCAGACCGAAAGAGTCAATACTGCAAGTTACCGTGTGGTACAGGACATGGCCTCGAAACCTGGTGTCCCGATCGCATGAAACGAACACCAGACACGCAGTCGTCGTATTCTCCAGACAGGGTCCGTGTTAACGAGATCGCACAGGCAATATCTGACGAACTGTGCATCACTTCATCTTGCCTTATCGGATACAGGGCTGTCGGTCGAAGTAAAAATAATAATAATACGAACGTGAACCCGGCGTCGATGAAACGCCTCTTTCATCGTCCGCTTGCTGCCGAATAATTTGACACTTGTGTGATCTCCATAATTACCCGAGCCCAGCGCCCAGGAGGCGAAGGAAACGAAGGAGCAGAAGAAGTTTGTTCAAGTGACGACGGGAGAAGGCGAACGGGCCGTAGCGGACAGCGGCATGAGGGAGAAGAACTGGTGGTATGAGGGGCCACAGGTTTGAGTAGCCGATATGTGGGTGTGCCCACGCGCACCGTATCTTCTTCATCTTTCTCTCGTCCTTCGTACCGAGGCAGCGTCCGCCAACTAACTAGTTAATTATCGACGGTCCTGAAGGTTTGAAGCAAGCGCAAGGCACATTTCATCTGTCCTCCAGCCAGACGTTGCAGCGAGATCGGGTGGGCATGATGGGGAAAGGATGTACCCTTGCACCGGATTCGTATGGAGAAGATAACAACCTGTAAGTAAGTACACGTCTGTCCGTCGGTGTCTTCCCCAGACAGCCAGCGAAGCCAGTTCCTGCACGTGGAGGAGACGCAGAAGCGAAGAGGCCAGCTGCGCAAAGGGAACTCCGCAGCTGCTCAGTCTTTGCGTTTCATCTGGCGTTCGGAGCAGCAACAAGGCGCTCAGCTCATGGTCCCGGAGACGACGGTGCGAGGAGTCACCGGAGAGAGATGGTGTTTGTCATTATTTTGTCTCTCCGGCCCGCATGGGTACGATAAAATGGCCCATATTATCTGATCGGATATTTGCAATTGGTGCTCTGGTCCAGGATTCACCTCCCTTGCGAGGATACTTAATTGGCACGGAGTATGCCGGAGTCACCCCCAAGCCAACGGGCTCGCTGACTAGTTAGTTAGCCAGTTAACTAGTTAGTTATATGAACCTGGATTATATATGGCCATCCCCTTGTCAGCGTCTCGTCTGACCCATGCAATCCTAAACTAAACCGCCTAACGAGCAAGGCGGACCTCTCAACCCTCGACTATCCCATCTGCATTCCCCGTTGGATATGATAATAATGGTCGATGTGATAACTATGTGTTGGGCACCGCTTTGGATAAGAAGACAGCTTCTCCCGGCTCCCGTGCAGGTAACCTAAGTAGTTAGCCACCCCCCTATATTTATATATGAGGGACGGACTGCGTATGCCGGTTGCTGAGGCATGGACCAGACCTCGTGGTGTCTCACGTCACTCTGCACTGTGCCTCGTGGTGATCCATATGCCATCTGCCCCCAGAATCCCGCCAGTCCGGTCGGGGGGTTCGCGAAATATTTGGTCGTGGTCTGACTTTGATCCCCCTTAAACTGCTTCCCCCCTAAAGGATAGTGGGAGCGTGAGACTGACCCTATGTCTATTCACACCATCAACTCTATCCAACGAGGTTATCGGAGAATTTGCTCGCTTTCTCCCGTTCTCTCTCCCTTTTTTCCTCAGGTAAGATGGGCATGCATGGAGAAAAGAAAAAAAAAAGGAACGAAAGGTAGCTACCTACCAACAACGTCGTCGTCCCCCCCCTTGCCCGACTCTCCACAGCCGTATACACACGCTTGGAGTACGGAGTACACACCATCATCATCAGAATATGGCCACGGCCAGCGCATCAACTATCTCAGGCATGGATGATTGCTCTTCCGCACCCAGTGACGGGAGCCAGTACTCTGTAGCGTCGATGTGACTACCTTCTCAGCTTAGCTAGCAAGCTCGTTACTTATTAATTAGTTGTTTAACGAGACCCTTGGGGGAAACAAGCCGAGTTGGTCGCTAACTTACTGGAATATGCATAAATAAACTACCCAACACCCATCCCTTCCCGTATTCAATTGTCGATAGGTAAATCCAGCGCATTTGCTTTTTTCCCTTCGTTTTTCCCTTCTTCGAATAATGAATAATAATTCCTTTTATCAAGGGGAATCATCTTTCCCCTTCCCCATACGAGAAATGCTTAGCTTATACCTCGTACGTAATAAGCAGCCTTCAGCTAGGGAGACACTTGCCAGCCTGCTCTCTCCCGCAAGGCATTATTAGTTATGATATTTTTCTTTCCCGTCTTCCCGTCTAAATATAACCAAAAGAAAATGAACCAGCAGGTTGCTAACTGGCTGACGAGCCTTTTAACACGCGACAGGGAGGACAGGGAGGTCGAACCGGCAATTGGGATTCGGAGATGGAGACGGAACCCTCGGACATTAATTCATGTTTTTGTATCTATCGCATCGTAAGGATGCATGTGCAGTATATTCCTGACCAGGGAGATGAAAAGGTACATGTACATGCATGTCCGTAGGCCAGTTTGCACATACTTTTAATACTTACATGCTCTCTATCGGGTAGGTAACATTGCATCGTATCATGATCATGATCATGATCATGTTCTATTTTGATCTCCCACATTATGAAGGGAGGGAGAGCCTTGCTGGCCTTCCCCCTCCCCCCCAAAGTCGTAATACTTGACAGGGAAGATGGATTCGGACGACCACACCGCTGTCGATGCGATGTTCAGCTCTTCTGCCTCTGTCGGGTTAAGCTCGATCGAGACATTGCCGGGCGTATACACAGAAGTTGAGAAGTGATCGGCTAAGGCGTGTACAAAGGGGAGAATAGGGGGTGGGAGGTGGGAGGCGGGAGCGTGCTATGTTTAGATCTGATAGTTATAGGCTGGAGTTAGTTAGCCGACGTTGAGCCGTTGGAGCTGGGCTGGTGATCTCTCTGCCGTGTCTGTCGGTCAGTCTCAATTTTGCTCCTGGTCTCCCGTTTGGTAGGTATTTTGCAGCTGATATCACGGCCCGAAGTGCTTGTGCCGTCGCTTGTTGACTGGAATACTAGCGAAGGTTACGCACAGCCGGTATGGACAAAGAATCACTTACTTCGAGGATGAAGGAGGAGGTGTTATTATTTATTTATCTCTTTTATTCTTTTTTTTTTTATCTTTCTCAGTTCATTACGAACCAAGGTAACTAGACTAGACTAAACTAAATAACTAAGTAACTACACACGCTCACCCAGGTAATTTGGAGGAAGCAGAAGAACAAGGCCACCCTCCCTGGTATCCAGACCCATCCAGACCCGATAATGAATAAGAATTAGACAAGAATGGTAACAAGATGCAGAAGGCAAAGAAAAAAAAGAAAAGAGCAAGCAATACATGACTTGGTGGGTATCTGGAACACAGTAATAACATCAACAGTAAAGCAGACAGAAGTAGAGGTTAGAGGTGGAGGAGGTAGGGGTGGAGGCGGAGGGCAAGGTAGAGCGGTAGAAGTATTATGTATGGCGTGGGAGGTAAGAGGGTAGAGGAGGAAACAAAGGAACATCATCATCATCGTCGAAGGTAATATAATACATAGAATCGATCAAACGTATTAGAATAGAGGTAGGACGGTGGTACGGAGGTGTATGGAAGCGTGTGTATAGGAGGTAAAGGTTTGTTGGCGAGAGGCGGCGGCATGGGACTTACCACCCCTTGACGTGGTACTCCCAGGGGCCGTAGTCGAAGTAGTGATTCCACGAGCTGTTCTTAGACTCCTTGTCCTCTTTGCCTTGGCCCTTGGAATCGTTGGCGCCGGGATACTCCTGGAGTCCCGCGACATCACATGCCGTATGCCGACGCTTGAATGCCGCGGTAGCAGTCGCAGCGGTGGTCTTCTGCTGGCGCTCCCAGAGGAGATGGCGGCGGAGGGACTCGGTCAGCTCTGTTGCAAGCATCTTTCGGCGCGTGGTTCGCGGAGAATGAGCACGAGCTACGATACCGCCCGGGGGAATGGAAGTCATGACGATTGGGCGCGAGTGAGGTACTTCCGAACGCTTCATCTCCAGGCCCGGCGAGCCGACGGAGCCAGAGTCAGAGCCGCTGTGGTCTTCGTCGTTGTCTTCTTCCTCGCCGTCTGCTGGGGCGAGGCCTCGCTGCTGCTGCATAGCTGGAGTAGAGCGGGAGTTGGGGCCGGGGCCACCGCGGAAGGTTGGGGCAAAGTTCTGCTGGGGCTGGTGCATCATCATGGTCAAAAGCGAACGGCGCGAAACCAGATTTGGTCGCGAGTCGACACGCTGAAATAGCTGTTTGTCGTCGACGCTGGATCGGCCGGATTCGGTAACGGAGTCTTCCCAGTCGCCGTCGGACGAGTCTCCCTCATCTTCGTCCTCGATGGCGCTTTCGGAAATCTCAGACTCGTCGTCCTCGTCGCTAGAGGCAATGGCGTCTTCGTCTGATGCACTGGTCTCGCGAATTGGTCGAATAGGGTGGCTGGTGGCCGCTGTGTCTCTGATGAAGGAAGTCCTGCTCCTGCTGTGCTGGGCCGATGCCAGGTGGTTGAGGCCATCACTAAGGGAGCTTCGGTGGGTCTTGATAGCCATTCTGTCTTCAAAGGAGGACTCCTCATCACCGGAGGAGCACCCGAGAGTGAAGACGCTGGGTTTTTGTTGCTTGAAGGGGGACTGTTTGGGTACCGAGTTCTTGCTCGTGCTGGCTGCTGGGGAGAGCTGGCTGTGGGAGCGGAATGAGGACGAGATCTTTGAAGGCGAGAAGCCACGTACAACGGAGGATGATGGTCGAGGAAGTTCGGCGGATGAGACGCTGGTATCTGAAGAGGGGGTAGGAACATCACTCTCCCGGACTCTCTCTAGTGCAGTAGAGCACGAGTCAAGAGATTGGTTGTTTGCTGGAGCCAGATGCTGCTGTAGATGAGTCTGCTCCTGGTGGTGGTGGTGTTGCTGTTGTTGCTGTTGTTGCTCTTGTTGCTGCTGTTGTGGTTGCTGCTGTGTGGAAACTGGGGTAGGGGAAGATGCCCGGGGAGTGGCGTCTAGTTCACGATTCTCGATCTGTAGCTGTGACTTGCTCTTCGGTACACATATCGGCTCCAACTGCTTCTTCTCCTTGATGCTGTAGACCATCTTCTCCAGTCCGAGGGAGGTGATGTGTCTCTCTCGTCCTCGTGATATGCTTAGGACCGAGTCCTCGCCGACAATGGCTGGCTTTGGGTCAAGCTCTATGGTCCGGGGTGTGCAGGGACACTGGGGACTCGAACCCGAGCTCGTTTGTGCCGTAGATCGTGACCGTGACTGTTCCAGTCCCTCGTCTGATAGAGCAGACTCCACGCTGCTAGAGAGGTCAGGAATCGACTTGGACTCCCGCCTTAGTCGCTCCAGACGGGATCCTGAGTGTGTTCTCTTCTGTTGCTGCTGCTGGTGCTCTTGGCTCTGCTGGAGAGAGTCCTTGTTATTGCTGTTGTTGTTGTCTGAGTTGGTACGTGACTTGGCCTGGGGGGCAACACAGAAGGTCTCGCGGTTCCAGAGCCGCCAGCTCAGATTCTCGAGCCGTCTGCCCTCTTCCATGAAGTCTGCACATCGTGAAAACACTACACCCGCCCATTAGATTCTGGCTGTCCATCATCATCACCGGTGAGAGGGAGGAGGGGGGGTCTCAATCACTCACCCATCCACATTCCATGGAGAGACTCTGCATTGCGAGTGTCGACCTGGTGAATCTTTGCAGGGTCGACAGTCAAGACCGGCGTGCTCAGCCTTGACGGCATGGTTTCCTCCTCCTGTTTCTGTTTCTGTTGCTGTTCAATTCCCAATGTCCGGCTCTTGATGTCCCTGTTTCTCTTATCACCCTCTCTCCCTACTCTCTCTCTCTCTTCCAGACCACCTTTTTATGTCTCTCAATCCGGGGGGTTCTTGGGGAGGAGGAGGGGGGGGGGGGGGGGTCGGAGTA